AAGTAATGTTCGATATCGTTCACTATAGGAAAATAAGTATAATTCAGTTTCATTAGATAATATTGGAAGATTAAGTGATGATATATTCGAAGGAATTGAAGATTGTAAACCATATCTTAAGATACCAATGCAACTAGGAAAAAAAGTAAATTGTTTTATAGATTAAAAATGAACGGTTGTAAAAAAAAAAAAAAAAAGAATAGTATGAACCTAGAATTGGCTGCTGCTACTCGCCATCGAATTGATGCTTGCATAGCAAAAACACCAGTATATTGATTTTTTGTTTCAATCATTACTGCATATCGTTGTCCAGAAGCAATTTCAATCGATGTCATATTAGGTTTTGGTACTATGAGCTTGCCATCTACTTCAACAACAGTCATGGTATGTTCAGCTATACCAAACACAATCGTAGATAAACTTGTTGCACCAATTAACCGTAATAAATAGAATGCATTTGGTTCTACAGTCAATACGTAATTTCGTTGACCATTCATAAACAGATTTGTTGGTTCTCCTTCCCATTTAAATGGTGATTGAAGTAAGCCTGCTTCTTGTGCAAGACGATCAACTCCTTCCCAATGATCAGAAAACATTATTGGACCTGATGGTATTTCTACTGCTTCCCATGGTCTTTGTGGATCATCAATAATTACTGCACCAAATGCTGTAACAGCTTGTAATCCTACATGTGAATGATATATATGAGTACCAGCTGGATATGCATAAAAAGCATATGTAAATGTTTGTCCATGTGAAATTGGCATTTGTGTTACAAATCCTACGCCATCCATTTGTGATGTTTGTTTTTGAAGAATACCATGAAAATGAATAGTAACATCTTCCATGGATTGAAGAGCATTATGAATATGAACAATTATTATATCGCCAACATTAACTCTAATTGTTGGTCCTGGATATTGATTATTAATTAATATAACAGATGTTGTATTGCCAGCATAGGTAGTTGTAAAATTGTATTCATGACGATTAATAATTCCACTTACTGCATCAGTCAAAGGAAACAATGTTACCAGAAGAAAGAAAAGAAAACAAGACATCGCCATAATATTTTATGTCAAGAAATATAAACTTTAATGTACTTTTTACATATGCACACACTAACTGATTTCATTTAAGACTCAAAAAAAAACAATCCAAAACCAACCTAAGATAAATATTGCATCACGAGGATGAAAGTTAAAGTTTATCGTTATCAAAGCATGCGACGCAGTGAAAAGATGTGCGCATTCAAGATATACCTACAGATACTTATCTTTTGTTTTTGCTTGGCAAGAATTGGTTTTTTTATTTTCATAGACTGAAAATGAAAAAGTTTGTTCTAATAATAGACTTTCATCTATATGACGATTTATTTGCAATAATTTCTATGCTATACTGAATTTAGTCTTTTAAACTTGGAATTCTCTCAAGACGAAATAGTTTTTTTGCTGAAAGACGCAAGATGAATTGTTTTTCTCGCAAGAAAGAAAAATTACTGTTCAATAAAATATATTTAAACTGAACTTTTTAGATATATAGAGAAAAGTGTAGTCGTAGATCGAAAGAAGACCAACACTCACATTCTACTCTATCGATCTATTCGAGGTCGATTCTTCTAGCGTATTCCATTCAAGAATTTGAAGTCCTGTATTAGAATTCTTGAAATCAACCAACTGACAACTGATCATTCTAAACTGTGTTGAGTTTGTTATATTCGTTTACACGGTGTCCAATGATGATATTTGTTTTTAGTTGTAAAAGGATCTGACGTTGGAAATTCAAGCATTTGTCAGAGTCCTAGAGAAATAGTCATCTCAGCAAGGAGGTCCCCTATGTAGTTTGTTGTGACGCTGCGACCCATGAAAAAATTCATGATCTAGCAACTTACGATCATACTGAAATTAAGAGTAAATATCACCATTGGAGTCAGCGTAGATGAATGCACTAAATTCAATACAGTTTAGAATGACTAGTAATCAATTGGCCGATTTCAAGACTTAAAGTAAAACGCATATGACTCATGAATGGAGCAGACTAGAAGAGCTGCTCTTGCATAGATCGACAGAAATATGTCTCCACTGTTGATTTCCGAAGTTGGAACTTATTGGTAGTTTAGAAAGTTTTTTCAAGAACTTTTGGTTGAAATCTACAGCAAAATCTCTCATGGCAAGTTTCTAGCTACTTTTGTTCCCAAGATATTCAAAAATTATTGAGATACATTATAATTTGACACCCACAATATTGATAAGTGACATCTATAATATATATATTTGAACAACATTATCTTCAGTCCTCACTGGTATGCTGTATTACTATTGTTTCGTGACAGTTTGCAAAAGTCCACCTTACTATCGCTAGCACACTCTATGGAAATTCGTCAAAATGCTCCCGCACTACCACCATTAGCGAATGTGATATTGACAGAAATCTTATTGGTGAAATTTTCGCCATCCGTATAAAGTTACAATACATGAAAACAACTATTAACGATGTTCCTTATAAATTGATCTTTGATTGATGCCGAAAGTTTATGTTCAATTTTAACCTAAGGCAAAATTGAAGACAATATATATCTGACTATTTACTATACAACATTTGAAACACAAAAGAAAAAATGAATTTGGTCTGCTTCATTTTTTCGCTTTAGCAACTTCTGTTGTAAAATGTTGTTCTTTGTTCTTATTTTACTACTAGTTACACAATAGTAATGAGATTTATTGTCAATTTTTTCTTATTATGTTCACAGTGCTCATTTTTATATTTGTTCGCATTCTTACTAACAATCTGTCAGACAGTTAAGTAGGCCAAGAATAGGAAAAAAAAATTAAAGGTAAATATGATCGACTGAAGTTGTCAAGTAAAACAGAAAGAAAGAGAAAGGTAGCCATTTTAGTGAATAGTAATACATTCGATGCAACGTGGTTGGTTTGAAAGTAATGTCACTCACTATTCTCTTTTTTGTTTTAATAAGAAAGTCTCAAGTAACGTCTTTTTTTATTAGACATTACTATAGTGTTCGCAAACCAGTTGACTTTTGTCGAAGAAGTAAAAAAACTCGCGTCTTATTTGTCTTGAGATTTGTATAAACATTCGAATAAAATCAGTTATTATGTTTAAATAATTACAAAGCTTCGAAGTTTAGAAAAAAATTAATATAATTGTATTTATATATCACAACATGAGCTCTTGAAAATTGTTATTTTCTATTGAAAGGCTTAGACAACGAAGAGATTTTTTTCTTGAGATATTCAAGAATAAATAATACCTAGTTTATCAATGATCTAGTGCAATAAATCTAAGATTTATTGTGAATTAGTGATCATAATAGTTAACTTTACCATTTGTTCGTACAATTGATTTAACATTTAGCGCTGTTAAGGGATAGTAACATTAGTAATTCTTTATCAACGTTAGAATCTGGACTGTCTTTCTTGTTGAATCTCTATTTGTCCTTGAATCTTTTTTAAACAAATATTTATTATAGAAATGAAATTCCCACATCCTGATTCTCGAATATTACCTCATCAAATATTATGCAGTGCTGCACCACTTAATTTACCATCAATGGAACTAAAAAGGGTTGTCGGTTCGCTTGTTGGTCTTGCCGTCGGTGATGCACTTGGAGCTAGCGTTGAATTTCGTCCTCGACAATATCTTGTTGATCATCCTGTAAAAGACATGGAAAGTGGAGGCACATGGGGTCTTCGAGCTGGTCAGTGGACAGATGACACTTCCATGGCTTTATGTCTAGCTTCATCACTCATCACTCAACATCGTTTTAATTCTTACGATCAAATGGTACGCTATAAGTGGTGGTATAAAAAAGGTTTTCTCTCATCAACTGGCGAATGTTTTGATATCGGTACTACTACTCGAGCTTCACTTGATGAATTTTCTCGTCGACAAAATATTCTCAAACAATATTTTCGAGGCATGAAGGATGATGACATCGATCACTTGTCGTTAGAGCAAGTTAGAAGTGTGCACAATTTTAATGAATATTGTGGTGTATCAGGACAAGCTGGTAATGGTGCACTAATGCGTCTTGCTCCTGTACCTCTATTTTACTTTAGACAACCGAAGAACGCTATTAGATATGCAGGTGAAAGTGCTTGCCTTACTCATGGTGATCAAAAAGCAGTTGACGCTTGCCGTTATTACGCAGCTCTTATCGTTGCTGCAATTCATGGAGAATCAAAACAGCAACTATTAAATGAGCAATTCTACGAAAAGCATAAACAATGGTTTGGATCTGTGAAACTTCACGATGAAGTTCTACGTGTAGCTCGAGGATCGTACAAAAAACAGGGCGGCTATAAAGATGGCATTCGAGGAAAAAGTTATATTATCAGTACGTTAGAAGCTGCTCTCTGGGCATTTTGGTCCGATGAAAACTCTTTTGAAAGAGGTGTTCTTAAAGTTATTAATCTTGGTGATGATACTGATACAACCGCTGCCGTATATGGTCAATTGGCTGGTGCATACTATACTGTATCAGGTATTCCCAGACGCTGGGGTCAAAAACTGTATGCCAATAGCTTAATTATTAACGTCGCTGAATGCCTTTACGTCGAAGGAAGCCAAAGTAGAAATGATACGGTTCAACAGCACCCATCGGCAAAAAGACAAATTACAACGCAGCATCAGAATCAATCGACAATACCAAAATCACAATTTAATCAACAGCATGATTCTTACAAATTGAATCAGCAAACTTTATATGGAGATTATAAGGATCGCATAGGCTATGATATTCTATCTAAACAACCACGATCTCAATCACTTCCTGCTACTCATTCGCACACGAAAAATTCGTATGGTCGACGACAAAAAAAAAGACTAGATCCTAGCATTTTACCACCTGCGGGTGTACCTAGTGGTTATTAGACAAGTTAGACATCTTATAGGAACCACAACAATAAGAGAAATCTTAATCACTTACTAACATCTTTGTTTCCAATGGGAAGATACACATTTTTGCTAATATCTTCACTTCCAATGACTCAAAAATTTTTCTAATTTGTTTTGAAAAGACATCCTTTTTTTTATATTGAATAGAGAAAAATTTAGTAGTTTTCTTAATATGTTAGAAGAATTGCAGATTCAATGTGATTGCATACTGTGATGAGATGATTAGAATACATGAAAAAGAAATAGATAATAAATTGATAGTAGAAATGCTTTGTTCCATACAATTTGTTATTTTATTTTTTGAATTATAGTGAAAAGTGAATTTTAGACAATTATTGATTCTTACAACGGATGTCATATTCTCATTATCATTAATATGAAGAAAGAATATGACGTTGAAAGAGAATTCGAATTTTAATCATTCTACATCGTTACAAGATTGTTATCATCTTAATCATCATCAAATAATATCTGTTGTCATTCAAATCTGCATTATTTATTGTGAGAAAGAGTTCAAATTATACTTTGACATTTATGTTAACTATATACTCAACACAAATTTACTTTTATGATGTATATGTTTAGAGTAAGAGCAGTAGCAGGTGACTAAAAGAAGCTTCTTATGAATGAGAAAAGATCATTAAAATGAGAACATTATATAAAACCAAATTGTAAAAATTCTGATTATATATATTAACAAGAACATTAGATCTTTCAATATGTTGTTGCCTACCTATGCCTTGTATATAAGAAAATAACATAAACAAATTATTTTTCTTTCACATAGCCTTTTACAATATTCTTTTATTCTGTACATGAAGCATTAAAGCAATTATTATGTCTCAATTTTGTTGTTTTAACAAAGAATGAAAGTAATTTCAAGAGCTCTGTTTTAATTTAATCCACTACTAAGAATGTTTTGTCGACATTGTTTGTAAGATACTCAGCGTCATCGTGTACTAATAGAAGCAATTGAATTGCATAATTTTACATCTCTTCCATGGAATAAACATATCAAATGGAGTTGTGGTATAATGAATAAGAAAGTTTATCTTTAAAAAAAACCAAGCTCTTGTGAATAAAAATATGACTGCGGCTATGTTTTTTATTGTCAAAATTTATGATATGTCACCAGAGAAGTCAGAGTAATTTA